GGCGCTAATAGCCGACAATTACATGCCGACTGCCGCGCTTAGGGCTTGTCTTTTTCATCTCAAGTCCTCGTCATCATTTCTACCTAAGTCGCGCCGTTCCAGGACAAATTATGTGTTTGATTTCTCTCTTAACTCGACTAATTAAAGAAGCTGTCTCTTGTATCACCGAAAGACGACAAAATTAGAAATTACTATACTCTCAGGAAATGAGAGATTTTGTAGCCTTTTCTCGTTTGTAATTTTTTTTCTAAATCCAATTTTTTTTATACCTACATTTAAAAAAATTGCAAAATTTGCCACCCCCTAGATTTGCCGCCATGGGCCGCGGCCCATGTGACCACCCCCTTAATCCGGCCCTGGTCGCTTTCGTGCCAATTCCTTCTCGTCTGGCTCGACCCAGACGGACCTTCAAATGAGTGAGAATGGAGAAACGACTGCCTTGCCAAGGAAGAACGTCGTATGAGAATTTCAGAGTTGCCAAATTTCCTTCGATTAAGTGTTCATCTCGTAGGAAAGTTATAAATGAAAATTTTGCTTTGAAAGTTTCAGGAGCTTCAGATGACACTGCGAACAAGATTATCTGAAAAAGTAGAGTAAAAGACAAATAACTAAACGAAAGTATGTCAATTATACCGATAAAATGATTAAATTAATTATCTTTGTCTTTAATGTTAAAGATTTTACCAAAAATACTTACTAATTGACTGACAATTAAAAATTAATCGTTAACGACACCTCGAGGCTATTTTCAAGCTTGGGTTCATCAGGGTAAGTGGGTTCCTAATCTTGATAACTTTTCAAAGTCGAGAAATTACGCATGAAAAAGAGAAATGAAGGTATCATTATCAGTATCATATATCATCATAACAATAACATTACAAAAAATCAAGCAACATCTTATCGTCACCTACCGGCCAAAAGTATCACAAGCGGCATGTGACATTTCAAAATTTCCGCCACCATTTTATTTTTTTACGGAGAAATTTTTCAACGAAGCTGTCCGAAAATTTCACTGAATTTTCTTTGTGCTGCCGATAAAATTCAGTGAAATTTTCAAACAGATTCAACCAACAATTTCTCTGTAATAAAATAAAGTGGCGGCGGAAATTTTGAAACGTCGCATGACGCTTGTGATACTTTGGCCGGAAGGTGACGATATGCGCAAATCCGTCGAACGAGTTCCGCGAGTTTCGACGGTTTGGCTGAACTTTACAAACAATGATTCGGACGTTTTTATGCTGAAATGAATTCCACAACACGTAAACCCCGTGCACTTACTTCCTCTCGATTTTAAAACATCCATTTATAATGGATCCATGCAGAAAAAGCTATAAGATAAAAAAGAACTGTGACATCGATAGCCTAAGTGCGAAACCATGTGCCTATCCGTTTGCAAAGTTGTAGACCTCCTGTCATAATTTATTTTTCCATTTGAAAATAGTCAACTTAATTTCTTGAAAACTTCATTGATTTTTGCAGAGCAGAGATTTTGAAACTTCGCAATGGAGGTGCGTGGTTTCGAACGTCAGCCATCGATATGCAGGGTCGCATTACAGCCATGCTAAGGAAGAACGCCGTATGAGTATTCGAGAGTTTCCATGTTTCCTTTAGTAAAATGTTTATTTTTGAGGAAAATTACGGATATTTTTCCTTGAAATTTTCAGGAACTTTAGGTGAAATTCTGAACAATATTATCTGCAAAATTGGAAGAAAAGTATTCATAAGTTTATCAGGGAATTCGTGATTTATCAATCGAAAGAGCCTCGCCAAAAAGTGGTGTTTTTTAGCCCCTTTTTTTATACCCGAGTTGGTCAACCGGACAGCGCTCAAATGAAAGCCTATGGTAAGGCAAACTTCCATGCAAAGTTTCAACTTGAAGTGACCCCTGGTTTAGGCTGTACAGCGTTGCCAATTTTCCAGTTTCATGTGCTAAAATCAAGGATATTGGACTATTAGTCCGGTGCATAAGTAGACTATTATACCCAAGTT